CTCTCACACACACACACACACACACACACAGACGCACACAAGGTTAGCTCCTAATTTTAAGAAGCTGCGCAGGCAGGCGCGGACGGTGTCTTCTCTTCCCAACTTGCTTACGGTCAGTCTTCCTAGATCTCAAGGTTCCTGATTAGTTTATGCAAGATCTGGCTGTTTTCAGATGTTAATTCGTAAAATATCCCATACTTATTTTAGGATCCTGTTTTAAAACAACTGTCGTGTTTTGCTAATGAGAAGAAGTAGCAAATCCAATAATAGGCTGCTCCTTCGCATCTCCCTTACTTTCTTAGATCATCAGAAATGGCAACTGAAGAGAAAACCGAAGGAAGCAGCTCCAGCCCCGAATTATCAAAGAAATTTCCATTCATGTTTCTGGAAAAAATTACGAATTGTTTCTCCCAAATATTCTGTAAAGATCCATTTGGAACAGTTTATAAGGTTAGATCTTTTTTCCTCATATTTTTTTTGTCTTTCTCAAAAGTTTGATGATCAAATAGATGCTAATATGTAGAACTTAAATGATCAAACAGGGAACTCTGCCAGATTCTAACAAAAAGATTGCTGTGAAGAAACTTGAGCAAAGCGAAGAAATTCCACGTGACGATTTTGAGAATCAGGTTCAGAGTATTGTGGGGCTTAAACATGAAAACATTGTAGAGTTGGTTGGGTTCTGCAATGAAACACACCAGAACAGTACAGAAAGGTTACTCTGCTATGGATTTGCTCCCGATGAGAACCTTCAACAGCATCTTTTTGGTACCTAACACACCTTGGAAATTCTCTTCTTAATTAATTCCCTTGATGTTTGCATGACTTGGAATTTAGGAGTTTGGACGTGTTTACATTCTTTATCTTCTAATTTCTTTAGCTTTTACCCTGATATATACAGGGACTGAAGAGACGGAGGATTCTTCTTCGACTGAACCTAGTAACAACTGGAACACATGCTTCAAAATAATCAAGGGGATTTGCCAGGGTTTACTTTTTCTACACAAGCAGTTAGATAATAATCCCATTACCCATATGGATCTTAACCTGAAAAATATATGGTTGGATAAAACAATGGTGCCCAAAATTGCCAATGTTGAACTCTCCAGAATCTTTAGCCATGAACAGATCACAAAGGAATCATGGTAAGCTAATCACAAATTTTGACATTATTAGTTTGTTCCTTTATTGTTGTAAATGACAGTTTCACCTCTTTGTAATTCATTCTAACTCTCGGTGCCAATAATATTCAGTGGATACATGGCTCCAGAATATATAAACGACACTCGCAATGCCATGTCATTTCAAACAGACATATATAGTTTAGGTGTAATGATAATACAAATCACCACAGGGGAGAAGAGTCGTGGCAAAATGGAGGACCGTGCCTCAAGGAGTTACATTGATAAAGTAAGAAAATAAATTACTTTATGTTTAATTTTGAGGATGAAACTTAGTAGGCTATGTTTATTGTTTGTATATTATCACTAGTTAATAATCATAATTTTAATTCTGGATACAGATACGTAGAAAGTGGACAGCAGAACACATAGCATCCAAGTACTCATCGTTGGATTCAGAATGCCTCCATCAAGTACATGCATGCATAAAAACTGGGCTAGAATGTGTGCAGATTGATCAGAAAAATAGGCCTTCCATAGAGGAAATTGTTGACAGGCTCAACACAATCTGAAAGGCAGATGAGCTATGGAAGCAGAGTGACACATGTTTTGAGATGATCTAATTTCACAAAGATGCGGAGAAGACGCTTGGTAGTCTTTTTGAAGGCCATGTTTGACAAATCCATTGTTGAATATACTCTTGTGTATATTCAATCTGTACCGGTATATTCCCTAAAAACACAAACATGTCATGTTCAATTATGTTTGTATCATTTTACTTCAAACTTGTGCATACTTACATTTGAACTACCATTTGGGTTTGTTTCCGTATTTACCCTTTGAATGGAAAAATCATGTCAATTGTGAGTGCACAATTGAACATGTAGTCCGGTCCATAGGTAGCACAGTTGAACTACCACTAGGTTCACTCATTCCAGTCCGTATGTAGTCTATATTGAAATATCTAAAACAAATTATAATTATGAATGGAGGGAGTACAGTTTAAATATTTTCCATGTTTTTTATGTAGCTAATGTAAGTGATTGACGCTAGGAACACACATCCACACAAACACACACAAAGAATCAATTGCAACCACGGAAGAAAAGAAGTCTACGCACAGCCGCCGCCACCACCCAAACCCTAAGTCGCCGCCTCTACCTCCCTGTCCTCCCAGCCTTCTCAGCTGCTAGAGACTAGTGGCCAGACTAAGCCCTGATACAAGTTGATGTAGGTGGCGGCCAGGAGAGCTCTAGCACTCTGCTATGCTATAGTAGCCTTCCGCGAGTTGCATTCTATGGGTGGTGGCTTGAGGTAGACGGTATGATTGTACAATGACATAAACAGTGTATTCGATTGTGTCGATGGTCTCTAGTGGCGAGGTGTCGGTGGTCGCGATCTCATCTGCTTGTACATGGGAACCTTATGCATCCCAATGAGGTGGTCCATGCTTCCACACTCGGGTGATGCTGTCTCCTGCACTTCTAGGCCATTGCCCCGACGGGCTGGAGGGTCCATGACCTTCAAGCCTGATGGCTATGGCGAGTATGTTAGCGGGTCGATTCTACTACCCCATGCAAGCACGCGAAAGCAAGACGATGGTGCAGGACTACAAAGCGCCCCAAATTAGGATTTTTGGTCGTGCCGATGACTTTCAACCTCGTCAATCTTCGTCGCATGTGTGACGTCGACCTTCACCAATTGGAGCATTTGGTGGCGACCGACTGTTGCCACGGCTTAATTGGTTGCTTGTGCAAGCATGGTCTTTAGTTGTGTGGCATCTCACCGTGTTACATGTGTAGTTATTGAGATAACATAAGGTGGTGGAGACAACAACAAATGACTTTGATTTGATGGTGCTTCTCGAATACCAGGTCTCGGCTCGAGGGTGAAAATCCTAGGTTTGGTAATGAAAGTGTTTTTGCATCATTACCTTGTTGAAAGCATTGCTCAGATTTGCACAAACCTGATCTTAGGGATGAGAATGCACGATTTGACATTCGGTGGTTGAATCTAGCGACGATAATGCTTGAGTGGCATTCCCTTGCAAGAGACATTGCCGTTGGAGAACCATTCTCGTTGTGCTCGTAATGTCAAGGGATCGTTGATCATTGTTTTGATCACTCCAATTTTTTTCCTCTGGCTAGGCATAGTTTCAGTCTTGTATGATGTTACTATACTTGTCGACATGATTCAGGTGTTGGCGTTATTTGTGTGCATCCGAGCAGTTTTAACATGTACTTTCTTACCTCCTCTTTTCACATGAGAGATAAGAGTATAAAATAGATCTGAGTCGTTGATCTCATTTAGTTAGTGGCCCGATTAACTCTTAACTTTTTTATCTCACATGTAAAAAGAGAAGGTAAGAGGGACCATTTTAAAATTTATCGTGTGCATCCTAGTCATGAAGAAGCTGTACATATGCTCATTTTTTTAGTTGCGTATGTACGCTTGTTATGTTTGTATCCTATTGATGCTTTATTTTATGTCAATGGTAAAATCAAGTGACTGATGACTGAAGGATAGAAACAACTACACTTGATTTTCTTAAGGCCGAGAAATCTTGAAACAGATTTTGCCAAGGGGAGGGATAATATCATGGGCATAATTAATTACGTTGTAGGGATGTACTAGTTCTACAAGTTTGGATATTCGGAACAACGGAACACTTGAGCTGAGCTCCACGATGTATACGTACTCCTAACGGATATGTACATATATGATAGTTTGGCCATGTGTCTCGATCTATATATATACTCCCTCCATTTCTTAATATAAGTCTTTTTAGAAATTCAAATATAAACTACATATGAAGCAAAATAAGTGAATCTACACTCTAAACTACGTCTATATACATCTGTATATAGTCTATATTGAAATCTCAAGAAAGACTTATATTTAAAAACGGATGAAGTATACGATAGTTTGGCCATGTGTCTCGATCGGAGACATAGTCATACAGATCTCCATCAATCATAGACTTAATTAATTGTCTGTTGATTCCATCAAGAACGTCAAGCGTTGAACAACAAATGCCTCGTTCGTTGCAATGAATATGTATCTGCATGATAAATCCACACTGCAGTAGCGGTGGTTCTATTGTAGCTGCTGGGATAGCGGAAAAGCGATGGAGACAACACATGTGAGATTTGGATGGTGCTGTGTGCACCCGCTCTCGAGCTTCGGGGCGAAAGCCCCGTGTGGTTATTCCTGGCAATGATGATGTTTTTTTACGACGTTACCTTGTTGAAAGCATTGCTCGGATATATTCGAACTGATTTTTTAGAGTGAAAACTTTGATACCGGCCTTTGTGGTTGGATCTGATGACGGCGTCGCTTGAGTGTCGCTTCCTTCCTGAAGGTGTTGCTATTGAAGATCCTCGTAATCCATGTGTTGCCAATGGTTGCTGCGGATATGGCCTCAGTTGTAGTTTGTTGGTCGTTCATCTGATCGCTTTGGGGCTTATTTGTTGTTTCCTTTTCTCTTTTTCCACACCTGCACATAGCTTTTGGTCTTATGACTTTGCTAGTTGTTGGTGTGTTTTCACGTGTGTGTTGAATTGGTTGTGTGCATCTTAGTTATGCAGAGGCCGGGTGTGTCCAGTGTGATGTATCCTCTTGATGCTTTATTTGAGCCAATAAAATTCACCCTTTATGGAAAAAAAATCCACACTGCAGTACTCATTTGACTCATTAATTTTCAATGACGCATCTAAACAGTCACGACATTAATTTATACTATAGATGCAATAATTCAAGATTCGTTACATGTGTAGCAGCAGTATACTGATAGTTGATGCTTTGCTACTGGGCCAGTCAATTTGACTGGGCAACCCTGACGCATGCATGCTTATGAGTTTGAGAACTATTGATCCTTGAGTGAGCTTAGACCATACCGTGTATAGACCAGAGAGTATAGTTACTTCCTCCCTTCTGATTTGTAGGGCTTATCTAAAAATATTATTTTATAAGTCTCAGTTTCATTGCTTCTCATCATATGTTCAGATTTCAAGGTGCATTAAATCACTAGATGCAAGATTAAAAGAAAACTTATCAATGAACGACTGGATATACTCCCTTTGTGCAGGCCCTCGCGGAGATCATGAACCTCTGGAACGTTCTTCATCACGTTGTGATTCAGCAAAATCTGGACAGCTTCAGGTGGCGGTTGGCCTCAAACGGATAGTTCTCCGCGAAGACGGCCTACGCCGCCCTCTTTGCCGGCAGAGAGTTCTTTCCGGGCATGGTGGAGCTTTGGTCCTCTTGGGCGCCTTTGGAAGTCAAGATTTTTGTCTGGCTGGCTCTACATAATCGTCTCTGGACCGTCAATCGCCTTGCCAAGAGAAATATGCAGCACCCACCCCAATGCGTGATGTGCTGCCAGGCGCAGGAGACAGCGAACCATCTTCTGCTGGGCTGCCCCTTCGCTCGGCAGGTCTGGTTTTCGGTGTTGCTCCCTGGCAGATTGCAACATTTCACGTCGTGCGCAGATGGCGAACTAAGTGCATGGTGGCCGCGGCTAAGCTCATCACTGTCAAGTGAGCAAAGAAAGGAAATCAACTCGCTGGTCTGTTGCAAGCTAAGGTTGCTCTAGTTGGAAAGGAATAGCCGTGTGTTTGATAGCATCGGGACGGTGGAATCTGCTGTAGTCGGTAGAATTCGCTCCGAATTTGAGATGTGGAAGCTAGCTAGGGTTTGTGGAACAGTAGAAGATGATGTGAGATATGATTAGTTTCTGTTTGTAAGGTGGACGCTCGCCTACGGGCGCGGCTTTGTAAAGGATCTTGTATTGTCTTTTTCCCCTCCCCACCTTAATACCGAAGACACACCTCTTGTGTGTTCATGAAAAGAAAACTCATGAATGAATGTAAAAGTTTTTATCATGCATGTATGCACCATAATTAATTCATTTGGTAAACACAATTCTCTTAGAAAAACAAGCACATTAATTGAGCACTTTTGTAAACTAAAAAAATTATTCCACCACCCACCAACTACCTTCATTGGTGAGATTTTTTAATTAAGCTCTATAAACTGTAAGGAAGAGAGTATACGAGATCATTGAGTTGATTCATACACTCTCGAGAACCGAGTGCCAAGGAATTCATTGAGCCTTTCTACCGTGCATGCAAATTCCCCAAGCACCGTTAGGAGTAGCACTATCTGAACGAGCCATCTGGCCTTCAGTTCAACCTCATAGTCGTCTACTATGCGGATCGTGGTACTACCTACCATCATAATATATACTCCCTCCATTCCATACTGTAGTGCGCCCGCGCTTCCTAAGATCTAAATTTGACTATAAGTTTAACCAACTAGACCGACTACGGCGGGAGCAAAAATTATATCATTGAATTCATATAAAAAATATAAATTCAACAGTATAATTTTTTTCTCCCACCGCAATCGGTCTCATTGGTTAAATTTACGGTCAAAGTTGAATCTCGAAAAGCGTAGGCGCACTACATTATGGAATGGAGGGAGTATGTCAAAACATACCACCAACTTAAGAAAGAAGGAAAAAAAACACCTATGTATACGTTCACAGAGCATGTGCATGCTTATGCAACATGTGTGTGCTCCTCCTAATGGATGAATCGCGATGTATAATTACTCGTAAAGGATGATAGCTGAGCTACGAAAGTCGTCGGTGAGATTCGTCTCGATCAGATCTCGATCCATCACAGACTTAATTAATCGTCTGTTGATCCCACCGAGACAGTGAAGTGTGGAATAGCTAATGCCTCGTTCGTAGCAATGAATATGTATCTGCATGTCACATCTGCACTAGTATCAAGCTTGTTTGATTCATTAATTTTCAATGACAACTCTGAACAGTCATGATATTGATTTGTACTATGGATGCAATAATGCAAGGTTCCAACATGTACTAGTAGTTGTTTCATTGGTCGAATCAATTGGGCAACTATCCATGCTTATCAGTTCGAGATCTATCGATCCTTGAGTTATTTATAGACTAGAGTGTATAGTTACACAAGATCATTGGGCTAAGGCTAGTCATAGTGGGGAGTAACTTAGACTAGTAATATGCATATGTTACTAGTCTATGTTACTACCTCTATAATGCATAGTATTATAGATTAGTATCATAGGTGGTCTCATTTATTGCCATGCATGACACATAGTAGCATCACATTTATTATGTTACGGTATCTACCTATGTTACTATAACCATCTCTTTCTTCTTTAATTCCCTGCCACATAAGCATGTTTGCGAGTCTCAAGTGCATGATACTACTTACGTTACCCCCACTATGGCCAGCCTAATGCATACATACTCGAGAACGGAGTGCCATGGAATTCGCCGAGCTTTTCTACCATGCATGCAAATGTCCTCAAGCACCATTGATAGTAGCACGAACGGTACGAACCATCTGAACTTCGGTTCAAATCTCATAGTCGTCGATGCTGTGGATCGACGTACTACCTGCCATGACAACACGTTAACGTCTACGTATGCGCCAACTCAATAAAGGAAACACAAACACCTACACAAGCGTTCTCACAGAGCGTATGCGTGCTTATCCAACATCTATTAATTCACACCAGCCAGACAATCGTTTCCCCTCTCCATATGCATGACATGTCACCGGTAAGGCGGCATGCAGG